TTTCAATATAATTGAATAATACAAAATTTTTATAAAGTGTTTTTTTTTTTAAATAAGACATATTACCCTCAAAGGAACAAAAATTGGATAGATAGCTGTGACTTCTCAATGGAAAGAATGGAAGCCAGAGATGACATAAAGATATCTTCAGTGTGGTTCAAGAAAATAACCACTAACGTGGAATTCTATAGTAAATGAAAATATCCTTCAGTAATGAAGGTGAAACAAATCTATCTCCAGTCAAACAAAAACTGAAAAAATTTCATCACCAGCAAATCCATACTAAAGGACATAATAAAGAGTATTTTTTTTTTTTAGGCAGAAGAAAAAGGATCCCAGATGGAAGCTGATAATTGGAGACATCATGGAAGCAAGTAAATCTGAACTGATTATGTGTGTATAAAACAGTAATGACAATGTCTTTTGGAGTTAAAATATGAAGAGAACGAAAATACATGAAGAACAATTAAAATATATAGTACATAAGTCAGGAAAGATGGGATTGAACTGAATTAAAGTGTTTTCATTGTCCAGGAGAAGGATAAAATACTAATATATTAGGCACTAATAAGTAAAATGTGAATAAAGAAACTATTGGCAAAGCACTTAAAGAAGACTAAAGAATAAATAAATAAATAGCAAGGTGATAAAAGACAGAAAAAAATAGTAAAACACCCAATCAATTCAAAAGAAGAAAGAAAAGGGAGAAAAAGTAGCACAGAAAAGGTAGGAAAAACAAAAAACAAATAAGATAGTATTAATAAGATGGTAGATTTATGTTCACAAAGAGCCAAGAGTATACACAACAATTTGAAAGAATAAGAAGGAAAAGGTGGGAAGAAGTTCTCATCATATATTAAGACATATATGAAATAATTAATACTGTCTTATTGATGCAAGTATACAGAAATAGAACAATTGGCCAGAAGAGAGTTGGAAATGGATCATATTTATGTGGACACTTGATTTATGAAAAAGGTGGTTCTATAGAACAATAATGAAGGAGCTGTCTTTCCAGTAAATAATGTTTGGCAAATTGAATATCTCTGTGTCAAATAAATGAAGCAACTTCTACTTCTAAATGTGAAAAGTAAGCAACAACACTTCTGGAAAATAACATATGAAAAGATCCTTCTCTTTATGGCAACTTAATTCTTAAACAATGTAAAAAGACGCTAACTCTAAAGGAAATTAATAGATTGGGCTACATTAGAATTTAAAAGTTCAGTTCATCAAAAGATATCATTAATGGAAATCCTACAACTTGGACAACATTGACGGAACTGACAGACATTATGCTAAGTGAAATAATTGAATCATTTAGAGCATACTTTAAATTTTCTAGCATTCTTAGCCTCTGGATATCCTTTTTTTATAGCATTTCTGATCTTTCATAGATACAATATCTTTTCTTATCTATCTGGTAATATTCTAGTTTCTTACTATAGTTTGCTTTCTTCTGCTTGCTGTATAAACTCTATTTGGAGTTACTTTTTGTTTTTTGGGTTTTTTTTTTTTTTTAACCACAAACTATCTAATTTTTAGAGCCTTTTCTTGAATTTCTGGCTCTCCTTGGCTCCCTAAAATTTATATTTAAAACTGAAGCAATTAATTAAACATTGACTGGGCTGGTTATTGCCTGGAGAGCTTTATTGAGAATTCTTAGAGTTTTATTCCAAGACCCCTAAATGTTGATCTCTATGAGTATTTTTCTTTAGTTCTTCAATTTTACTAGAGGCAGAAAAAGCAGTGATGTAATTTCAGTCCACATGGGGCATTTTTTCACTTAAATCTGTTGGATCTCTGCCCTTTCTCTTCAGGACAATTCATTCTGTATATCTCTCGTGTTATGGTTTTGAGAAACACTGGCAGTCTTGGTGATAGGATTAAAGTGAAGACATATGGTCTATGAACATATTTCTTACTCTCAGTTGATTTATTCACTAAATGTAAAACAGACTCTCAGGATAATGTCTCTCTTTTCTACTGTGATCTGGCCCTTCCTTTATGTTCCTTCCCCTGTTAAGAAATCAATGAAATAAAAAATGGCTTGATTATGGGGTCTCTTTCAGCTTCCTTCTCTTCCCTTTATGCCAACTTTAAAAACTGAATACAAATAGCAACACATTCAAAGGCTTGGTCATCTAGGAAGTGTGAGTTGAGAGGAAGTTGGCAGGGATGTCTACCCTAAAAAATTCTTATCATGACCTGTTGTAGTGTCTAAAATCCCACCTTTAGAATTGCTCTGTTGAATCATTTGATATTTAAGAATGTTCCATTGAACTGGTGACTCCTTGAAGGATCATGCCTTATTTATTATAGCATAGTTTCTGACACATAATAGGTATTCAAGAAAGTTTCTGCTGAATAAATATTAAATTTAAAAAACATTGTGAAGAACATGGGAAAGGATAATACTTGAAGCTCATGTTCAACTAACACTTGTTTGATAGATTGGAGAGAGTAATCAACCTATGTTATTCTTGACCAATGAGTGTGACCACTTTAAGCTAGATCACCCAGACTCTTGGTATCTCAATTTTTCCAATTCTATTTGCACTTGATTTTATTGGTGGAGGTACAGAGTCTGGATTTAAGCTGAGAGATCAGCAAAAAGTAGGAACCATTTCTAAGAGATTCTAGCTCTTCAAGTTAAGCATTTAATTTTTTAATTATGATTGTAACAGTTACTACTTATATAATGCTTATGATATACCAAGCTATGACTAAAACATGCTTATATTTTTGTAGATGCATATATATAATCATGTTGTAACTTTATCACAGTATGGTGTTTTCTATGATTCAGAGGTTGTGAATCCCTAGAGTGAAATGTAATTCCCACTTATATTTTATTTTTAGGGAAAAAATTCACTGTCTTAAAGTGATCTGCTTTAGGACACAATGTCCATGAATTATATATTAAAAAGCAGAAAAAGTGTGTAATCAAGATGAAACCTTTGTGACTATCGCCATCATTATTTCTTCTATCATTCGCATTGTGGGTGCAATGGAGTTGATTTCTCTCTTCAATCTACTAACTGTGTTAGTTATGCCTTGTATAACTCTGTGAAGCTCTCAGGTTAAATGCTCTCAGCTAGTAAATAGCAGAGTCAGGTCTTCAAAGGAATCAACTATTTAAAGCTTTAATTTAGATGCCCTATCCCCATTAACTATCTTTCTCAAGTACAAAATATTCAAGAATTCTTTTTTAAACTATGATTTAACTTTCTCTCGTTTGTATTTTCTCTCCTTCTTTTAATCATCTTTTCTTCTGGTTTTACTCTCTTAAGCTGTGCTAACCTCAATGTTCAAAATCTAAAAAGATGGCAAGAGAGTGGGTGGAGGTTGTGTGATACAGATGGAGGAAGAAAGGGGAGAAGAGAGAAGGCGAAGGCCAAATAACTTTATTCAGTTAAAAAATACACACACTCCAATTCTTCCATAATGTATATGCAAGTTTGCAAGGTGTTGTAGGTGAATATACATGTATGAGTAAGAATGAAGTCACAACGTGAATACTACAGAGAGGGATACAATTTCTTAAAACAAAAAATTACATCAAAACGCAAAACAACTCTATCCACGTTCCCAACTAGCATTTTTTTTTTTTTTTGCTATTAAAAAATTTGCTATCCTCTCTCTTTCTTCTGTGATGTGTGTGCATGTTTGACTTTGCATGGAAATGAAGAGGGAGATAAAGCTTAATGCAAAATAAAGTCCATTTTGTAAACACATTTCTCATTCCATGATGGTATCCCTTTGGTATTTATGGAACATTTCTTCTGCTGTGTTTTATAAAGACATATGAACACAAAATATATGAGCACATCTAATGTTGATTACCTCTCATTTGCATTTTCCAGGAAGAATCGTGTAGACCAACAGAAACAGTAATAAGAAAATTCCCTAGAGACAAAGTAAGGATACCTCAGTGTACTTTTATTAAAGCATGGCGAAAATCTTGTGTATGGCTACAGGTTGACATTTTCAAAAGCATACTCTAAGACAACGGAAAACTGTTAATGATAAACTTAAAAACTTTTCGATGATAAATGCCACGTATATTTTAAAAAAGTGAGACAATAGACAAAAATTGACTCCAGTTTATTATTTAATATTTCGGTGTATCCCACCACTCCAGTCATCTACCCCTCCCCCCACCCCAGTTTCGGCCATTTTTTTTTTTAAGTAAAATAATTTGTGTAAAAAGTGAGGTCAATTAATAAGTTGGATTTCATAAATGTCACAAAGGGGAGACAAGAGGCCACACTTGCCCTTGGGAGGGGAATCAAATGATGATATTAATTGACCTCTTTGTCCAGCCTGGCTGTGAGACGTGGAGTCGATTCCTTTGATGCGGAGGGATCTTTTGACGGGGATTAGCTATTCCCTGTTGTAACGATATTTTTCAGACCAATTATTAAATATGTACATGTTTGGAGTTCATGTCTTCCACAGCTGCTGGTGGCAGCTCCCTTCATTGACGTGGGCTGCAAAGGCTGCAAAAAACCTACGTGTCAAAAGCAAGGGGTGGGGAGCCGCCATTTGCAAAGCCGGAAATGATTAAAATCTCAGGATTGAGACCATTCCCAGTCAGCAAGGGCTTGCCCAGAGCACAGTTCCTGCTTCTGGTGTCTACTCTGAAGAGCATAGAATGGATGTTAGTCTACCATTCCATTGGCAGTAGGATGTCTCCAACTACTGGTGAGCAAAGGGGGAAAGTGAGTCAATCACTGGCGTGGCGTGCACAGGAGAAGCGCGCTAATTTGAGAGGTCAGCGGCGAGTCCAGTTCAATGGCCTAGTCTTGTCGGGCTGAGCCGCGGACCCTGCCGGCCTCCGTCCTCTTCCGCTTTACCCAGGTGCAGCGTGGATCCATCCGCCTTAGCGAGCGCTCCTGGTAGCGGGGCGATCGGCTTTTCGGCAATACCCGGATGGAAGTGTAATGGCCGCCATCAGGGACTCGCAGGCAATGGGGACCACGACAGGTATTCCCTGTGAGCAGCGCCGCCCAGACCTGTTAGGACGCCGAGACTTCTAGAGGGCCAGCCAGGGGGCAAAGAGCGAGTTTGTGGGCCGTTAGGGTCCCCCTCCGAACCGGCTCAGGGGTCCGCCTCTTGAGATAGGAAGCGCCTGTTAAATAGTCCCGGTCATTCAGCGCTTTCGGCTAACTTGCCGCAAAGTTTTTCAAGGGAAGTCGGCCCTTTCACTCGGTGCTCTTGCAGGCTGCTAGAGCTAACCTTCCGCTTCTTAGCCTGTGCTGGTTTTACGTCCGAGCTTTTTCAACTCTATACTGTTCCAGAGCCTAGGAGCTGGAACGGAGCGCGGTGACAGTGTGCCTCCGCGCGCCGGAGGGGCAGCCGAACCCCGGAGGAAGGGGCGGATCGTGCGCGGTGTTTGGGACAGAACGGGGCGCGCGGCGCTCGAAGCACCCACTCGGTTCGTTCCGGGGCTGGTGGAGACAGCATGGGTCCTCGTCAGACGGCACCTCTCGAGCTGTAGGTTTGCAGTCCCACGGCAGCCCCACTCGACGGCGTCCCCATCGTGGGTCCAGTCTACGGTCTTTGGAGGTCTTTTCTTGCTGATATGCTCAGTTCTCTGGCCAGCGCTACTTCCTCCAGAATTGGCCAAAGGCATTCTTTCCTACAAACCTCAACCACACCCAGTAGCAGATGGATTTCTTTGTAACTGGTTTCTCACTTGTAGGGTCCATTTTGAGTCTCTTCTTAACATGGTGTCCTCATTGTCAAGTAGATAGCCTTCTCTAGATGGTCATGGTATTTGAAAATACATAGGGTGAAAGTACATAAAGTAAAATGTTATAACTCTGAAGTAGACCAACGAAACGGATACGGTAGTCTTAAGGTTAAAAATGTAATAGTTAAAGTCCAATTTTCTTTTTAGGTTTAAATTTGGGGGCGTTTACTGTTTGTGAGCTCTTTTAGTGAAAACAGTTGCGTATGTGGTTATCAAAAGTTCAAAAATCTCTAGAAAAATAAAGTAAGTCAATGTTTAAGGAATTCATAAGAATATTGAACATTATATGATTGTCACAGTGATGAAACATGAAGACACCAAACTATCAGGGTAGGAATGTCATTAACTCGAGCAGCTGTGTTAGGCCCAGTTTACTGTTACTGTTAGATTATTTTTTATGCAGCAAGGGATCTGATTTGAGTGTACTCTGAAGTTAATATCCTCGGATTGAATAGGTAGAAACCATTTAAATTGATTCAGTGAAATAACCTAACATTTTTCAGAGTTTATTGCTAATTAGTAGAAATGGATTCGTTATCTTTCATCAAAACTATTCTTCTGAAATTCATAAAGACATTGCATTGTGTTAACATTTTTAGGATGTTAGCATTCCATAGGGGGGTAAGCATAGTAGACCATGTTAATTTTTGTTAAAATTCTCATAAATAATATGAAACCTTTATCTAGAAAATTGTTAACCAAAGGAGAGGGAGAGATAAAGTATAAGTATCTAACAACCTGTTTTGCACGTTCAGATTTTTCCTTATTGTTTCCATGAAAGTATAAATGTAAATTCAAAGCATTTATATCTGGTTTTATGGAAGGATAAAAGGACAGTAACCACAATGAATGCCTACTGTGCATATTGATAAGCTGTGAGCTTTTAAATGCTAGCGATTTTTATCATCATCACACTTCAAATCCTATCCTATTCTCCCTGGTAATAGTATACTGTGATCGCAGAAGTTTTTATGTCTTGAAACATTCTAGAGGGGATATATTTTAGCATAAATGTACAGTTTGACTTTAAAATATACTTTAAACATGCCCTTCTAATGTACTTTTATTTACTTTTCTGTTTGGAATTGTCTTTATTGAAGCATTGTGTTCTTTAGATTACTTAATACAACTTTTTTTTATTTATTTATTTATTTTTTTAATGATGAAAGACTTGAATTTTTCCCAGTTTCCTTCAGGTACTCCACTAAAAGGTGTTTTTTTGTTGTTGTTGTTTTTGTTTTTTGGGTTTTTTTTTTTGCCAAAACACTATAAATAGAAGAAAAAAGTTTTAATAAAGTTGAAATTTCTGTTAATCTATCTGATCCCAGGTATGAAGACTATGAATATTTCAGTTCTGTATGGGGTATTGGCTTCACACAGTGAGCAGTTTTCATGGGATGTTAGCTATCAGAAATGAGTATTCAGAGGTAGCATTGTGGTGGTAGGATAGCTGGATTGGAATCAGATCCAGATATAGTTCTAGCTTTGTGATTTTGGTCAAGACTCATTTTCCCTATCACAAGATACTAAATTAAATTGCTTCTAAGCTCCCTTCTAAGCTTTGAGTTTTGTGACTTTTGTAAATTTATGACATTATTATTGGGTATCAATGATAAAGTATTTACTAGAGTGCATTGAGATTTATCTTCTAAATTTATACATATAAGTTGAATATGAAGCATAATTGAATTGAGAGTATAAAAGCATTCTACTAATAGTTTTTACAGTCAGAGTTTTAAACTCTTGGTCTTTATTTCCAGATATCATCTCTTCTTTTGATCACTGTTCCTGATTGTGGCTTTGTCCAAACATTAAATTGTGTGCCTTTTGTTCCTTGAAGAAAGAGGTATGGTAAAGATCAAAGTACTGCATTATATATAGTCTATTAAGTAATAAGTTAATATGTTTTAATCTTGGACAAAATATTTATGTATATGTGAGTTTTTATAAGTTATAATTTTATTTTTGACCTAAATAAAATACTTACACATAGATTTTCATTTTAACATAAGCAGAAAAAAGTTTGGTTTCATTGTTTATTATTTAACATTTTGTTAGAGACCTAAAGATGATTTTAACTATATTATCTTTCTGAGTATAAAATGGCATTAAGGGCTTTAGGGTAATAAACAATAGAGATAAATATGGTAGCAAGATGTTTTGAATCTATCCAGTTGGCTGGAAGAATGTGTTTTACTCTAGTAAATACAAAGTAATGCACCAAAAGAAAAATTGTCTAGCATATATTTATATTATGATTAATAGCACCTACATTATAAGTCAGAAAAGGGACTTGGGAATTACTATAGAGTTCTGACTGATTTCTTGGAGATAATCATCTAAATATCCTGGTGTAGACAAAAAGAAGGAAAAAAATCCGCAAACAAATCCCAATATTTTAAGGAAAGCTTTGCAAACTCAGTGGGAAATATTGTACTCTTATTTAAAACAAAACAAAACAGAACAAAATTTGAAACACTGTCTCAAAACACAAGAGTCTTTTGCTGTTTGTGCTGGATAGGTTCTAGGATACTACATATAATTCCCCTCAACAAATGGAATAAGTAGATCTAAAAGTATAACCCTAAATTAGGAATAAGAATATGTATGTAACTACTAAAATAGATGATACTGACTAAATTATTACTTTAGTTCTATGAACTTTACTAACAGATGGCTTTCTTTTCAGAGCCATTTTACACAAAGGCATGAATTTTTATTAGAAATTGACGTCTAACTACCATGAGTAAAGAGCAACAAAGCTGAGTTGAGATACCAACTTGTCATTTATGTTCATTTACCTGCGTAATTTTTTTCTTTATAACGTTTATTTGACCTTTTACCACATGAGATTCACATGGGTACTGTGTTGTTCTGGAATAGAGAAAGTAAATGCTGAGCGCTAAGAATTTTTACTGTTTTTGATCCAAACTACTCAGAAAAAATATGATAAAGAATGAAAGATTCAAATATGATGAAGTAAACAGGAGGCTGCTATATGATAACCAAAATGATTTGGATTATTTCATCTTGAAAAACTGTGAGCAAATTCTGATTAAAAACTTTAAATTGTAATTGGTATGACTACATGAAACAAGTGTCAGAATATTGGAATAAAGGTGTGTGACTTGAAGCTTAAGAAAATTAAGGGGCTTCACATTGGTCAAGAAATGGTAATAGCAATAGCTGAAAACAAATATTGACTTTATAGAAAGTCAAATGATTTCAAAATGTAGTAAAATCAATTAAAACTGGATTGTTGGAGGTTGTGGTTGATAGAAGATACCTATATATAGTTTTTGTCAACTCAGTATCTCTTCATTCGGGGAACTATCCCGTCCATATTGTGAGTGATTGATGGGCTATCAGTCTTCTAACCCAAGCCTAGTCATTCCTATTACAACAGTAATGGTTGCCTTTTACTCAGACAAACTCAGTCAGAATCCTTGGGAATTGATGTGTGAATGCTAGGAGAAAGATGTTCTCTTCTCTCTAAAGTTGTTAATTTGCGGGGGGAGGTGCGCTAGTGACATTCTTTCCCATATGTATGAGAACTTCATCTGTAGTAGGAGAAAGTGAAGCCATACAGAAATGGGAGATGGATGGAAATGGAGTACCAGTTTCAGTCAGGGACTCTGGTATGAGATATCAGTGTTTTTCTTTTGATTCTGCAGCTACCCTGGCGTCCTTCCCAGTCCTTTGAGCTAAAATTCTCTATATAAATTAGTTTGAATTGGATTGCAGAAGAATGAATTTAAAATCTATAACTTCAAGTTTATCATTACATTCATCTACGATTTGCCCTTTTCTTATACTTTATAATAGATGCCCTTTATTCATTCATCACTCATTCATACATGCATGCAGTCCTTCATTCATCCTAACTTATCAAGTTTCTACTATGTACAAGTGTGTGCAGCTGCCTGGATAGTCAAGGATTATGCATACTAGGCTGAGTGGATGGTGGACTTTCTCTAATATAGCACAGTTTTGTATACTTAGGTTACACAGATCAACTAGCATGTGTAGAGAATAATAAGTGCTGTGCTTAGCATTTTAGTAAGGTGTAAGAATAAGAGGAGTTCTTTATCTTCAAAGTGCTTATAATTTAGTTAAGGTATCCAGATTAATATATGTGAAACACAACATGAACAGCTAAAACAGATAAACGAATGCACAGTTGTATAGTGTGGATTTTAAGTCTGAGTTCTGATAGGAAGAAAGTGAGGGCTAGCCCAGTCTAGGACGGTTTCTTGAAGGAAGTGTAACTTCAAATGGGTTTTGACTTATGAGTCGGGTTTTGATAGGCACAGAGAATAATTAAAGAAAAGATAGAGTTGAAAATGATTAAGTGCAGTGGTCAATTCTCAGTCCTCATCTTACTTGACAGAGTCGATCAATCCCTGATCTTGGAAACACTTTCTTCACTTTGCATTTAGTATACCGCTCTCCCTGATTTACCTTTAGTCTTACTGGTCATCCCTTTCAGTCTCACTAGCTGGTTCTTTCTCACCTTTTTCTTCTAAATGTTATAGTATCTTGGAGCTCAAGCCTTGGACTTCTCTGTGTACTTACCCCTTGGTGATTTCATTCAGTTCTATATGCATAAATATGAACACACAAAAATGTACACATAACCAATGATTCCCAAAATTCTATCTTATACCTAGATCTCTGTATTCTTTATTCAGCTACACATTCCACATTTCTACTTGGATGTCAACTGGATATCTCAAATTCTACATGGCTAAACTCAACCCTTGATATATTTGCCAAACCTATTATTCCCATACAGGCTTTTCTACCTTAATAGTAAATAGCACTTCATTTCTTCTGTTGCTGAGATTAGAACTTTTAGATTTATCCTTGACATGTTTCTTTTTCTCATAGACCAAATTTAGTCTGTCAGAAAATCTCATAGCCTCTCTCCAAAATGTGTACGGACCTTGACCATACTTCATTGTCTCCACTAAGACACCACCATCTCTTACCTGAGTAATTGTACTGTAATAATCATCATACTCCCTTCCAAATACTCTGTTCTTAACATAGCAGCCAAAGTAATTTCTTTAAAAAAAAAAAATCAGCTCATGTTACTTCTTTACCCAAAATGCTCCAGTAGCTTTTCATCTCCTTCATAGTAAAACCAAAGTCCTTACAGTGTCCATCAAGCCTTATTTTAGCCACTTTGTTATTTCCTTGACCTCATCTCCTACCCTTCCCTCTGGTGCTTTCTGTTCCAGTCATGCTGACCTTCTTCCTAGTCTCCAAACATTTTAGGCACACACCATACTCAGTGTTAGCACTTAACTATTTCTTTTCTTGGAATAATGTCTGTTTCAGTTCCTTAAGATCTTGGTTCAAATAAGACTTTTTCAAGTGAGGTCTCCCTGATTTTGTATTCAAAATGGCAATTTTTTGGTTCTGCCTATTCTTCCTTGTTTTTTTTTTTCCATAGCACTTGTCACCTTTGAATGTATTATATAATTTACTTAATTTGCTTATTATCTCAGTATCAATAAAATGTTAGCTTGATGAGGGGAGGGATTTTTGTTATGTTCACTGCTATATTTCTAATTCTTAGATCAAAGACTGGCACAATTTGGTGCCAGCTACAAGCCCAGCATTATGACAGGTGCTGATGATATAGCAAAGAACATGGCAGATGTGGTTCTTATGCTTATACAGCTTTTATTTCAGTAGTAGAGACAGAAAATAAATTGGCAAATAAAATATTGCCAGAGGAAAAAAAGTATTACAAAAAGGAGATACAAGGAGCTAAAATAGAGAACAATTTTTTCTTTTGAGGAGGGGGGATAGTTTATAGTTTGGAGAAGGCCTTTCTGAGGTGGTGACATTTGAGCTGAAATCTAAGAAATGAGAAAGATCTAGCCTTACAAAGAATGGGAGAAAGAATATTTCAAGCAGGGACCAGCAGGTGTAAAGGCCTGAGTATAGGAAAGGTGTATTTGAGGAATTAAGAGATCATCTGTGGTAGCTTGCTGAAAGACATTTGCAGGTGGGGAGAATGGTGTGAGATGAGTTTGAAAACCAGTTGAGGACCAGTTGGCATTGTTCCTTGTAGGCCTTGACAAAGAGATTAAATTTTCAGTGCTTTGGGAAGCCATTAAAGAGTTTTAATCAGGGGAAATTGCGACCTATTTTTATTAAGATCACTTTTGCTCCTGTGTAGAGAATGGATTCGGAGGAGGGTGGTGGGCAAGAGGAAAGCATGGAATGCCAGTTAGCAAGAAGCAAGACAATTATTTTAATCCAAGTTAGAGATGACAGTGGGCTAAGATGATAATGGAGATGGAGAGAATTCAAGATGTATTTCAAGATAGACAGGACTTGCTTATGGAAATGTGGGTA